GCTTCACTCGGGCCTTTTTTTTTCCCCCCCAGATTGGGCCTTTATCCCGAGAATCGGCGTCCAATACAAGGCTCCATCTCTCGCGGGCCCCCGCCCCACGCCGCCAGCCCTAGCTCCCTCGCGGGGACCCCGGGGTCCTGTGTCCCCGCCCAAGTCAGCACCGCGTCCGCCTCGCTGCCTCGGAGATCCTCTGGGAAGAGGGCAGGGGCGGTCGCATATTAGCTTTATTCTGAACTGTCGCGCAGTGACGACAGGAACGAGTAACTTTTCAAACAAAATAAGATGAATGTCCCCGAACGTGTGCCTCGGACGCAGCCAAACCTTCCCCCGAGCCTCAGAGACAACAAACGGGCCGCCGACCGAAACCCGGGAGAGTGGCACGCGCGTCCCCTCCCCCGCTGCACCTTGTAGGAAGTGTCACCCTCCCTCCTCCGCCGGATCACGTGGGCCCCGTTGTTTTGCAAGTGCCCACAAGAGCAGATTTCCTTGGGGTTAAATACTACTTTTAACTCAGTGACTGCTTCCCCAGGAACCCCTTGGGCCTGGTCGCCGGAGAGGCGGCACTGGCGACCGGCCTCTTCCATTCGCACTTCGGGTCTTCAGAGTGTAGCGTGGGGGCGCTGGGGGGTTTCTGCAACATCAACATCCCTATTTTAAGAATTCATTCTCTTAAACTACAGTCAGAATGGATTTCCCCATCCCACTCCCAAACAAACCACAGGCCACCCGGATGAGCTCTTCCTGCACATTTTCAGGAAGAAAATAAAATAATAATAATGAAACCACGAAATCTTTTGTTTTCGATTGTCCTAATAGGCATCTCTGAACAGAGCTGCTGTGCTTCTGTGGCATTTTTTTTTACCCCTCCCCCCCCAAAAAAAAAACTTTCAATAGTGTAGCAATAGTGCTTCGGTGGCACTTTTAAATTTCACTTCGGCATTAAAATTTCTTACCTAGTAAACCCGAGAAGGCGACTGAGCTTGGCACGGCCCATCTCGAGTTCAGGATTTGGGCTAATGAATTTCTAACGGTTTCTAGCCCCTCGCTGCAAGACGCTGTCATTTTAAGCTCTTGACTTTCTCCTAGAAACAGCCCCAGGTCTCTAAGTCTCTCTCTCTATCTCTCCCTCCTTCTTTATTTACTAAAGGGTTTTCTTGCCCTGCTCCTCACAACCAGGGCAGAAATGGAATGGAGGGATATGATGGGCTGAGGACACCCGCCCCTAGGCCGAGAGCCGCAGCAAGACCAGTCCTGTTTCTGGCCAGAGGCAAAGGAGTGACAAGCAAAAGGCCACTCGAGGCGTTGGACTCTCCTTCAACGTCTCCAGTGAAGGCGTCGCATGTAAAAGCTGGGGATTCTGGCAAGACTCCGGTGGGAGGGCGCGGCCCCTGCACCTCCCCAGCCCTCGGGGACGGTCGCTAGCACGAGTGTGTGTCGCGGCTGCCATAAACCCTCTCTCCTGTGTGTTCTAGCATCGCTTCCAATTCGGTTGCAATTCCGTTTTGCCTGCCAACATTCCGGCCGCCGCCCAAGCCCGAACTCACGCTTCGAAAGAGGCGCATTTAGGCCCCGCCCCAGGCCGCCTACCCCCCCAAGTCAGACGCGACCCTCGGGCGTGGACGCGGGGCTCAGCCTGGGCTGAACGCGGGCCCTGCGCGTTTCCCGCGGTGCCGGGAACCCTCCTCTGCGCTACTTCAAGGCCAGGTGCGCGGGGCAGGCGGGGCGACGGCGAGGCGGGGAGGGCGGACTTCCCCGCGGACTCCTGGCCCGGCCACGCGCCCCTCTCTCTCTGCGCAAGGCCCGCGGCTTGACTGTAAATCGCGCGTTGGTGGGAGCGCCCCTCGGCCTCCCAGGCCCGCCGCAGCATCGCGACCCATCGGCACCACCCTGGCCGACCCGGAGCTCCCCGAGGGACACGCGGAAAGGGAAAGAAACCTTTGCAACGACCTCCTGCCTCCCCCACCCACCCACAGTCCTTCCCCAGGCCCAGGCCTCGTCTCTCTGGGCCCTTAGTCCTCTCTGAGCCCGCGGATCCTCCTCCTCCTTACTCCCCACCCCTCAGAACCAAGAAAGCAGCAGGAAACCCCGGGCTCGCCGGAGTTCAGGTCATCTCCTGTTTTTTGATGGGCTCCAACTCGGACTAAATGAGCGGATGTGCCTGCGAGATTGGTCTCAAAATAGAAGCGGCCTTAGTATTTTAGGATACTGCAGAAATCCTTATTTCTTCCGGAGAAAAACTCTATAATGACTCCTAGCACTTCCCCTTTTAATATTTGTGCAACTTTATCTCCACCGACAAGTTGCTTGGGTGACGCAAATCCGCCCTTGTGTATTACAGCTACCAAAATAAATGTGCGGAAATCAATTCCCTTCTAGCAATGAAAATATAAATATACAGCTGCGACTTTCCCCTTTAATCTTTGCTCTCCGAGCGGCTACGAGCTGTGGCGAAATGAACTGGTCCAGAGCAATGGAGACGGGGTGGGGAGAGATGGTGGGGCCGGGAGGACTTTGGGGCAGAGGGGAGGCGCCGGCTCCTGGGGCCTGGTAGCCACAGGACTCAGTGAAGAGGGCCTGACTACACCGAATCCACTTGAGCTGAGGTGTGGCTGTGCTGTCCTTTGAGGAAGCTCATGTGTGAGGATGATTTCTCTGACACTGCATAGCTGCACCAGCAAATTACCATTGACAACAGAGGGCGTCCTTTATACTAGATGGTTAAACCGCTTCTGGGCGGTGGGCAGGGATGCCAGCATGGCAGGGGTTTCTGAAGGGTTCTGCGGGCTGTCTTAAATGCGTACAACTAACTCTCTGCTGCTTCTCGCCTGGGTGTCTCACCACCCTGGAATGGACAATGCCCAAGAAGGTCCGTTGTATACTGTAACAGTCTGGTTTATGGGAATTTAGGCTTGAAAGAAGGGGTCTAAATCAGAGGCTTATGCACTGATCGAAGCCCCGGATGGGGCTCATTACCCCTTGGTCGTCCCTGTCTTCAAAGCCTCCACACTTAAAACACCAGTGCAAAGTCTCATCCTAAATCTGGGACACAGATACACAGCCACGGAGCAGAAAAGCTCAGTCGGAGTGGATGCCAAGCTGTGCTTAGCACAGTCAGGTAACCGTGAGCGCATGGGCGGTCAGATCCGCTATCTGCGTTTGCTGCTTCTGGCAGACGCTGGACAAAATGATGGGCAAGGTAGTTGCTCTGTGGACTTGGGACTCGCCCCCGCCCTTAATTTTAAATATTCTTTCAAACATGGTATCTTCTGATGTCGAAGAAAGAAATGGAGACGATTAAAAATTCACAGTCAGGAAGAGAAGGAAACACACCTTACCCAGCCATCTGAGGATGTGATTGGCAGCTACGTGGGAATCTGCCTGTATCTTGCCTGTCATTCTGCCAGCCGAAGACCGATGGACTGCTGGGCCCTATGCTCGGATTTAGTGCTAAGTATGGGAGTTCTGCTCCTTGTGGATGCTAAATACTAGAGTTTAGGACTCCAGAGGCTACACACACACACACACACACACACACACACACACACACATGCCAGATTATTCTAAGTTGGCCACAAGTCCCTCTTTCTGAAGACTTTAGTATTCCAGAACTACCAGAACTAAATTGAGTGCTTGATTTTTTTGAAGGTACGTGTTTGATGTGAGATAAGACAGGCAAATAGCAATGCGTTAGGACCACGGAGTTCATGGTCACTAGTCACTTGGTTTATTCCCTTTCCTTTTACTCATTTCCCAGGTGTGGCAGACTCACAAGTAGCCATCTCTTTATGTGGCCATAGCCCCGTCCTTGACCTCTTCTTGCCCACGGATTTGGCTTCAGAGGGCTGATCTGACTTGCTCTTTCCTCTCGGAGCTCCTCATGCATTCCCTTTCCGCCATTGCTAGGTTATACCAGTTCATATACAGGCGCGCGCGCG